CAAAGCAAGGTAAGACTACAGTGGTATTAAGTTGCTTTCTAAATTGAATAAAAAATAGAATTAAGCCTTATTAAAAAATTTTGACCTTCCAGTTGGCAAGAAGGCCAAAATATGCCAATGGTACAATCAACATGTAAACGCCATGAAAAGTTTCACATTTATTACAAACTTGGCATAATCTTGGTTGGTACACAAGCATCATAAAAGAGGTTTTCTGGCTCAATAACAGGTATACAAAAAAATAATTCTTGTAAGAATTTCAAATAAATTACAAGGACAAACATATTCAACAGAAAAAATAAGCCTTCATGCTTTTGTTCATTGGATTTTTAACCCAAGAGAAAATCATTTTTAAAGTCTTGTATCTGTATTCACTTTCTTTTTCAGCTGAAAGGATGAAGTATGATAGCCACAACTTTGTTACAGACCAAAATCCAACAAGTGATTCCGACACCACCTGAAAATAAAGAAACACGAACATAAGAGATGGAGCCAAGGATCCTTCCCACAGTCATGCCACTATTTCTTTAACTTTAGGATCTAAGAGAATTTCCATTCTTTCTCAGCTGTGCAAATAAAAACTAAAAAATCTGTGGGTACAGATCCATCAGACCTAGACATGGGTGGTGGTAGGGGCTGTGTAGTTACCAGCAGGAATCCCTGGACAGCTACAGAGCCCACCAGCGAGATGTGGGCTATGCTGCACAAACACACTGTACCACACCCTGTGGGATGATTTCTTCTTTTCTCAAAAAAGCATTTTACACAAAGCAGTGCTGACCCACCTGGGCCTCCCTCAGCCCACTGACAACCAAGACAGTGAGCATCCCCCTTCAGAAGAACAGCCTACAAGAGTGACCAGTGGCTCCCAGGACACATGCAAAGCGCCCTGCCTAGCTGGCTGTGTCAAGAGAAGGAAAAGGGCAGAGCAGGACAGGGGACATGGCTGACTGGGAGTCCTTGCAGTAGCTGATTCTCTTGAGACAGTAATTAACCTGCAGCATCATCCCAAATCACAGCCACAGACTGACTGGCAAGGACGCATGCCACACCACTGGCTTACACAGCTCAAATTCAGGACCAAAGTCAATGCCCTTTAACAGGAAAGCAGCCAGGTGTGGTGCCACAGGCCTGTCACCCCAGCACTCAGGAGGCTGAGGCAGTTGATGGTCATGAGTTTGAGGCCAGCCTGCACTACACAGTGAATTCAAGGCCAGCCTGAATTACATAGCAATATCCCGCCTCAAAAAACCAAGAAAATAGCCAAGTAGGACACATCCAAACATCCCAGTGAGGAGTAGCTCTAAAAATTCTTCAGGAAAAGAGGTTGATGGATGGATGCACTACCAGATGAGTGTGTCTGTACCCCACCCATTACCATGCTGAAACCCTAAGCCCACAGTGACTGTGTAAGAAGGAAGCCCTATGGGAAGTGGCCACGCCAGGAAAGAAGCCCTTCTGAGAGAAGCCAGAGGAAAAAAAAGAGGGGGAAGGAAGGTGGAGATGGAGATGGAGATGGAGACAGAGTAGAGCTCTTCCTCGCACCACCTTGGTAGACCCAGTGAGAGGGGGGCTGTCCAGACACTCAATCTGCTTGTACCTTGGCCTTGCATTTCCCAGCCTTCGAGAAAGTGCTGATGCAAGAAGGATATGTAGGGGCCAGGGAAATGGCTCAGTAGAGTAAGTGCTTCCCTGGCAAGCGCAAGAGTCTCAGTTCAATCCCCGGTTCCTCGAAAAAAAGGGTATCTGTGCTGTTGGTACATGAAACAGTCTATGACCGTTCCTTATAGAAGCTGGACACAATAAGATACAAGGTTTTTTATTTTTTATGTTTTTGGCGGAACTGGGGATTGAACTCAGACCCTCAAGCTTGCCAGGGAAGCGCTCATCCTACTGAGCCATCTACTGGCTCCCACAATAAGATATAAGGGAATGAGCCTCCAATATAAAGCAAAAAAGTTGGCCAGAATGGTGCACACCTGTAATCCCAGCACTCTGGAGACTGAGGCAGGAGGATGGTGAATTTGTTTTTTTTTCCATATTTAGGATAGGACCTACAGGATCTGCAGGGTCTCACTATGTAGACTGTATTCATAGTGATCCTCCTATTTCCAGCCTTCCAAGAGTTGGGATTACAGGCACACACCACCACACCCAGTCTCAACCTCCATCTCAGCACACACCAGGGGCAGGGCTGGCATGGTATGCCGGGGATCAAACCCCAGCCACTGCACCCTGCTTAAGCAGGTGCTTTAGTCTGCTAAGCTATCAAGCTGGAACCACCCCTGATATGCGCTGAGACAGTGATCGAGACTAGGCATGGTGGTGCATGCCTTTAATCCCAGCTCTTGGGAGGCTGAAAACAGGAGGATGGTGAATTTGCACTTAGCCTGGACTACATAGTAAGATAGAGGCCAGCCTGAGCTGCATCATGAGACCCTGTTTCACCCTACCTCCAAACAAATATGTGGTATGATAATTAAAATTAAAAAGACGCATAAGATGGCATGTGCCAAATATCTAACTGTATCTAATGAAAAAAACTAGGCTGGAAATATTCCACAGCTCTAAGAGGAGTCTTCCATAACTAATGAACTTTATAGAAAATATAAAGTGCTGCCAGTATTTCTAATCAATCTACAAGGATGTGGACTAAGTCTAACATCCCAAAGGAGCACCTTTCAGCAATAAAAGACAGCCGACAGCAGCAAGTGCTGGAGAAAAGCCAACCACATCCAGGATTGGGAACTACAAGTGGAAGTACCAGGACGCTCACAAGCCACACGTGGCTGTGGGTTCCCAAAGCAGAGTGCGGCAGTGGGGGTGACTTGACAAGCCACACAGCTTCTCCAGCCCCTCTGGAAGGAGGTTCAAAGTTCAGTTCAACACACAGGCTGTGAAGACTATAGGAACTCACCTTCCGTCACAGGCCTCTCCCTCAGCCTGTCCACAGCCTCCTGCCATGTTTTCCAGAAAGTTCTTACCTGCCACTTTGGTAGGAAAGGCCACCAGACGGTCCAGTGGGGTTATCCATTTGCTTGGCACCACAGCCACAGGGACAGAATAGTATTTCCAGATGAGTGAGATCATCAGGGCAGCCTGCAAAGACATTACTGGTAAGCAAAAGAGACCTGCTGGTGTCCCCATGAGCTCTCAGCACATGCCTGGGCCTTCTTATCATAAGGTAACAGGAAAATCTCCAAGGAGTTCAGTGTGGATATGCCCGAGAGTCCCCATTTTCTACAATTCTGACCAAGAGCAAAGGTGCCCTTGCATCTCACTCAGGACTCACAGGGCTGGTGGGCACAGTGGGAAGGGCGAGGATGGCCCCCATAAGGGCCTGCCTCCACCCCAACCCCAACAAAGGAAACAGAGGGAAACAGGCAGGGAGAGAGGGAGAGGAAGGGTGACACAGGAAGGCACACACAGAACTTAGTTCTAGGTGTCCAAGTAACAGGCCAGCAGGACCCTGAGCCCTGGGCTGCTCTTCCAGATGTTAGCAACCCAGCCACCGCAGCACACTCACCTGCAGGATATAGAAAGCCACACTTATAACCCATTTTATCTTGGCTAACTGAGCCGTCCGCGCTTTCACTGAAAGGAAAAACAGGAAGAGTCAGAGTGTCAGTGTTTCAAACTGACAAAGTACCTACAGACACAGAAACGTTGTCTCCTCTTAAAAGGTCCTTTCTTTCCTTAAATTTTTTAAAGTTATGTATTTATTTATTTGGTACAGGGTCTCACTACACAGCTGGGACTCATAGTGATCCTCCTGTCTCAGCCTCCCCAACACTGGGATTACAGGTGTACATCAGCACACTTAGTTCCAGGGTTAGCATGGCATGAGGTACTGGTGATTGAACATGGGCCCTTGAGCTTGCCAGGCAGGTGCTTAGACCGCTGAGCTATTTCCCCAGACCAAAAAGATCCTTTCCAATCATAAATGCAACAACCACTCAGTTTAGAAAATATAAAATGGAAGGGGCCAGCCAGATAGCTCAGTGGACTAAAGCACCTGCTTAGGCAGACACAGGGACCGGGGTTCAATCCCCAGTGTACCCAGCTGGCCTCGCCCCCGGGGTGCACTGAGATGGTAATTAAGACTGGGTATAGTGGTGTGCACCTGTAATCCCAGTGCTTGGGAAGCTAAAAACAGGAGGATCACTATGAGTCCAATCTGTGTAGTGAGATCTTAGACCTTTATGAAATACATAAAAATTAAAAAATAAAAAAATTTTGAAAAGTGAAAATATAAAACGGAACTTTTTAAGTCACCCACCATCTCATCTGTTACTATTTAAAAGAGTAACCCGGGCCTGCGAGATAGCTCAGTGGTCTAAAGCACCTGTTTAGGCAAGCTTAGGCAAAGCGCAGGGACCAACATTCGATCCCCAGTACATGTCACACCGGCCCTGCCCCCAGGGTGGGCTGAACCAGCCACATACACACACAAAAAGAGAATCCTACATGAGATTTGAAGAGATTAAATTTTGAAAACCTTAAACATTTCTGATTGAAATCAGAAATTCTTCCTATACTACATGTGGCACTTATCAACAGAACTGAACTTTCTCCCCTATTTCCACCCAGCCTGTGGTGTACAGGCATTCAAAGTCAAGGCAATGCACAATGGTCCCCACCTATGTGCCTCTCCCTTCACATATGGACGGAACCTTGAAGACAACCTGAGAGAAGGTCACAAAGGGTACCATCCAGAGAGGACAGGAGGCCTTGGGAACCCACTATGGGATCATTTCTGGGTATCCCTAAAAAAAGTACTGAATTTGAACCAGGCATGGTAGTGCACACCTGTGATCCTAGCACTTAGGAGGCTGAGGCAGGAGGATTGCCAAAAGTTTGAGTCCAGCCTCAGCTACACAGTGAGTTCAAGTCCCAGCTGGATTATATAGCAAGACCTTGTCTAAAAAGACAAAAGAAAACACAAAGAAAGGAAAAGCACTGAATCTGGAAAAAACAAACAAAACAAAAACGCTGCAATGACAAGCTGGCTCTGAAGAAGATCTAAGAGGATCCCTGGATGTTTCTGCTTTTAGAAAACAGGCTCCCCAGCCACACAATAAGAATGGAGGCAAAGGCATGGGACTCTTCTGGACAACTCAAATGCCATCAACACGCAGACACCTAAGCAATAGAGTGCTGTGCGGGTCTGCAGCCTCTGCCCAGCCAGACGTGGTACCGTGCGTCTTGAGCTTATCCGTCATCTTGTTGATCTTCCTCTCCAGGCGGGCGTATCTGGCAAATTCGTCCATCATGTTGACCGTGGCCAGTTCCTGCTTCATGTCCTGGATTTCGGCCCGCATCTGTGACTCCTGCTCTGCATCCTTCTGCAGCACCCGAGACAACTGGAGAGGGAGATGGCTGGGGTGACTGTCCTGGCCCACAGTGGAGCAGGGTCCCCCACTGAGGAGGGCAGTGAGCCCTGACCATGAAGGGATGTGGCTCCTGCACATCTTCCAGCCAGGCTGGACTGTTCCAGGACTTGCAGGGCTCAGGCTGTGGCTGGGCACACTGAGAGCAGCCCCGCACTGACTCCCAAGCCACTCCTTGAGCCCTGCAGGACTAGAGCACACCCGGGCACGCACCCTTCTCCTCACTGGGTATCCCACCCAGGCACACACCTTCATCGACAAAGAGGGGCTTTGCGCCTCTCTTCCTCCTCCCTGTGACATCATGAAGCCCAAGATATCCCAGGTATTTGCTTCTTTTTTTTTTTTTTTTTGAGATAAGGTCTTGCTATGTAGTTTAGGCTGGCCTCAAACTCATAGCAAGGATGGATCACTATGGGACAGGTAAGTATCATTCACTGCAACTGCACACCTGGGATAATAAAATGAAACCAATTCTAGGAGGCCGGGGAGATAGCTCAGTGGAATAAGTGCTTCCCTGGCAAGCACAAGGGCCTGAGTTCAATCCCCAGTTCCACCAAAAAAAAAAAAAAAAAAAAAAAAAGAAAGAAAGAAAGAAACCAATTCTACCACAGAGCTTTCATTTGAGTGACATGGGCCCTGCATGCTCTGCAGGCCCAGGAGAGGTGGGCATAACAAGGAGGAATGCAAGGTATGGTGAAGGGAGTGCCCACAGCAAGTGTCAGAGCCCAGGCAGGTCTTCCCTTGGAGGGAGGACTGGTGAGGGGTACTGAGGGTTACACAAGTGCATAGTGGCAGGGACTTAAGGCAGTCATTTCACTGGGTAGAAATCCGACACTGAGCCAAATGGGGCAACACAAGACTGTAAATCCCAGCATTTGGGGAGTGTGAGACAGGATAGCAAGTTCAAGAGCAGCCTGGGCAAGTAAGGGAGAGCCTGTCCCCAAAATGTGGGCAGGGGTGGGGATGTAGCTCTGTAATAGTGTGCTGCTGGCTTTGACTCCAGTGGGGAGGAAGAAAAAGACATTCTGACATATGCTACAAGGTAAACAAACCTGTAAGATATTAGACTGAAAGAACAAAGTGTGATTTTATCTCTATGGGGCTGGTGGTTGTCTGAGGCTGGAGGAGAGAGTAATGGCAATTGTGTAAGGGGCACACAGTCTTTTATGAGGTGAAAAAATTCTGGGATGGTGATGGGTTGCACAACAATGTACTTAACACCACCAAACTATACAGTTAAAAACTGTTAACATGACGGTTATGGTTTATATTTAGTTGTCTTCAGGCTGGGCAGATAGCTCAGTGGCATAAGTGCCTGACTCTCAAAAAAAAAAAAAAAAAAGAAAAAGAAAAAAATTTTTTTAGTTGTCTTCGAAAGCCCCATGTGCTTATATGTGAGGCTCCTGGAACTTCATTGAGTTATGGGGGTTACACCAACTTCTTCTCAGGAGGCAGGGTCTGGTCCGAAGAGGTGGGCACAGTGGAAATGGCCTGAAGGGTCCCTCTCCCTTCCTGGTTTCTCCCTTTCTTTAATTCCTGTCCATGCCCTGAGTAGATCTCCACCACGCCCCTCTGCCACACTTCCCTGCCTTGGAAGCAACTAACTATGACTGAAAGGAGCCAAAGTAAATTTCCTTAAGTTGCAAGTGTCAGGAATTATATCTCAGTGACAAAGTTATTCAGACAGCTCTGCAAAGAATACCCAATTAATATTGGTAGAATAAAACATGCAAGAAGCAAAAGTTCTACTGAGTCTTATATGCACCCCTCCAACAATTTATATTAAGAGGAGAAAGCAAGACCCGCATGCCCTCTGACATCTTAGGGCATCCTACCCTGCCCTGGGCATTTGCCACCCAACCCCTATTCATGCACCAATAGGTAGGAGGGCAGAACAGGGAGAATCACAAAGTGATAACCACTCAGCAGTCACCAGGTAAGAGTGACTTGGTGCAGCTACAGAATTGAGTAGGTAACAGAAGATGATGACAGCCACCTCTCTGTATTCAGGACACGGTGACACGTGAAAGGCAGTCACTGCCAGGGCGGGATGCAATAAGAGTGCCCCCCAATGCTCGTGGCTGCCCTGCACACAGCAAGCACCACACTCTAGGGAGATTCTCTCCCTACCCAGTCTCCCTGCCCCCCACAACCAGAATGAGGACTCCTGCACCCTGGCATCCATCACTCAGGAACCTTGCACCAGTGACAACGGACTCGAGCCCTCCGGGAAACCCTGCCAAGCACACCTGAGGCCCATCATCAAGGGAGCTGAGCTCTCTCAGGTCCCGAGTCAACCAAGTGAGGCTGGCCTCCAGGTCTCGAGGTCACCCCGCCTGTGGCTGCTGGAGATCCTGCCACACGAAAGCGTGACCAGGTGTCTTCCACTGTCAAATCCAGCAAAAGGATTTTAGAGAGGAAGCCTCAAAACATTCAGGCGCTAGGAATCACCTAAAAAATATAAAAGACCAAGCCTAGCGTGGTGGCACAGGTCTGTAATCAGCACTCGACAGGCTGAAGCAGGAGGATCGCTACTAGTTCATGCCAGCCTGGAACACACAATAAGACTCTGTCTCTAAAAAATATACATTAATAAAATTTTTGGTTAAATCGTAAAGTACAAAGCAGACCACGCAGGCGTTCCAGCAACCGAACTTGGCTCTCAGGCGGCACTGGGCTAGGCCGACCACGTTGGTCCCGGGAAAGCCCGGCAGGCACTTACGAAGGAGGACAGGGATGGGAGGAGGATCCGAAGGACGTTGCACCCAAACACGAAGCTGAGCACCAGCAGCCACGCCCAGCGGTCGGCCTCGGCGGCACCCATCCCAGACACTCCAGCGACCGGCACTCCGCTACGGCAGCTGCTAGGGGACCGCTTCGGGATGCGCGTGCGCAGTGAGGCTCAGCAGCCCGCTGGGGAGCCCCGCTGCGCCTGCGCACTGCGCCCAGTGGGCGGGGTGTGGGTGGAGCGGTGCGTGCTGTCCTGCCTCGCTCTGGCCTTCCGAGCTTCCTAGCGCTCTTTGTTACTGTACATTTCGCTAAACTGGGTGAACCCGTTTTTCCATAGTTGGACTTATGCGGGCCATCTAATTTAGCTGTCTCTGCAAGCCGTTTGTATTACTATTATCTTAATATGTTCTTTAAATGGACTCACTTTTGTGACTAAATAATTTTATTTTTTTTTTAATAAGCTCTTCCAGTCAGGTGTGGTGGTGCATGCCTATTATCCAGCACTGCGGAACCTCGGGCAGAAGGTTTGCCATGAGTTGAAGGCCAACCTGGACTACACAGTGAGTTCGGGGCCAGCCTGAATTACACATCAAGACCTTGTCTCAAAAAAAAAAAAAAAAAAAAAAAACTAGAACTAAGAGCTGGGGGTCAAAAGCTACAACTCTTGTTGCATAGGTCCTGCTTTACCTTGGTCTTAACCATCCAGAAGAAAAGTATAAAAACGAAATATAAGAAGTAAAGCCATGGTGTTATGTTGAGCTGTAGGGTACTCAGGTCAACAATTTCTGGCATTGCCAGTCAAGCGGAAGGCCCAATACTATTATGGGCTACTGGACTCTTTTGGAATATTTTGCTGAGTTTACACACCTATAATATTCAAATAAAGGAACTTAACAAAAAAGGGTATACAGATGAATGTCCATTTTGTATCTGTGTATTCAGAGAGCTTAGGATAGATATATAGTTACATTCTGTTAATGAATAGAATGATTTGTTCTAAAGGTGTTTGTAAATGGGATGTCAAGTCCGCATCTTGTACAGCAATTAAACACTAGGAAGAATGTATGCAATGTATTAATTATTGAAACTGTCTCATTGCTATTTGTTTATCAATAAAATTATGGCAAAAAAAAAAAAAAGAGCTGGGGGTCTCCGGGTTCACCTGTAATCCCAGCACTCTATAAATTGAGGCTGGAGGATCCCCTGAGTTCAAGGCCAGCGTGAGTTTACATAGTGAGGTCTAGGCCAATCTAGAATACACAGTGAGACCCTGTCTCCCAAACAAAGAGAGGGAGCGGGGAAGGAGAGGAAAAAGAACAGCCAACCACAGCGACATAATCCCAGAACTTTAGGAAACTGAGTCAGGAGAATTATAAATTCTAGCCCAGCACGGACAATTTAGGAAGTTAGAGAAACTCTGTCTCAAAAAGTTTAAGAAGGGCACAGAATAAAGCACCTGTATAGGCAGAGCTCATAGCAGAGCCGTAGTGCTATGAGACAGCGACTGAGACTGGCATGGTGGCGTAATCCCAGCTCATGGGAGGCTGAAAACAGAATCACTATCCAATCTACATAGTGAGACCCTGTAGACCCTGCAGACCCAGTACTAAATACATAAAAAAAGAAGGAAGCTCTGTATAAAGACCCTGTAATTAATCCTCAGCACCCCCCAATTAAGTGCTAATAATTGAAGGTTAAATTCTACTAGCATGTAGAAAGAAAATAGTATATATAACACTATGAGTCAGCCTGAAACTGGTTCAGTTTAAGGGATCAATATCATTATTCACACTATCCAAAAGAAGTAGAAGCAACCCAGTGTCCAAATGCATAAATGAAATGTCACATATTATCCAACCATAAAAAGCAAGGGGGCCAGGGATGTAGCTCACCAGGACAGTGTTTGTTTGGCAAACAGCAAGACATGAGTTTGAAAAAAATAAATAAAAAAGACATGAGGTGAATGAAAGCAAGAGACATGAAAATGAATATTGTGGGACTGTCCTGCTTCAAGGCTGTATATGGTGAGATTTTTGGACTTATGTGTAAACATAAGAAGTATATAATTCTGCCTATTTTTAAAATATATTCTAATTTTTAAATGTTTTTTATCATATTCTGTAGGGACTTAAAGTTCAACATAGCAATACTTGATGAAAAATACCTATTC